ATTGTTTTGGGTCGTTTTTTAATTTTTTGTCTGTATCCCCCCTTCCCTGGTTTGAGTTGTGAGCCGCCCTGAGTCCCCTTCGGGGGGAAAGGGCGGCATATAAATAAAATAAACATTCAAACATTCAAACATTTTAAATTAATGATGTTGACTGAACAAAATAAATTTTAAAATACATGTAATTAGATGAAGTTTAAAAATATTTACTTCTTTGAAATAGTGATCAATAAGAAGGAACTCATCTGCTTTGGACATGCAACTAGATGATAAATCAGATGCTCAACCAAGGGAAGCAGAAGTTGGAGATTTACACTTTCGAGCTTTGGTGTTGGAGAAAACTCCTGAAAATATAATGGATAACAAAAAAACATAGATCACTCCACAAAATATAGGTTAAACTTCACTTAATGTGCAAACCACCAAGCATAAATTATATTCTGGACAAATGCTAAGACCTAGCGCTCTTAGATATCTATAATACTGGAAAAGGTGGAAGAACAAAGAACATGACAAGTCTCAGCAAAGATGGACAGACTCTTATTACAAACACAATGGATATACAGTAATATTGGAAGTTTAAAGGACCAGGTTAGGAACAGTTCATGTTGGAGTTCTATCCATACAATCATCAACAGTCAATACTGATTTGATGGCACATAATTATAACCAGAAGATTTGAAAAGTTTAATTTTTTGATTTTTTTTGTCCTTAGGAAGTCAGCTATCATGTCATTTTGTAGTCTTTTCTTTCCTAGGCTAAATGTACCTAGTGCTTCTAGTCATTTTGGAAAAAAATTCTTCAAGACCCTTTACAATCCTGATTGTCTTTCAGATTGTAAATGTTCTTCCTTAAGTGTGTTGTCCAATATACTAGGTGTCTCCTGATCAATGTTAAATATAAATGAAGAATGGTTTCGCTCGATTTAATATTGTATTTCTGTTGATGTAGAGTAGGATTGCATTTATTTTGTTTTTGATTACTTTTTGCAGCCTGTAATTCATAATTGAATCATGTTATACTTGTCCTCCACCAAAACACAGATACTTTTCCATGTACTGCTTCCCAATACCAACTCTCCCCAGGCTAGGAAGAATTTTGCTCATTCCAGAATTTTTATATGTGGAAAACACAACACCTTTATGTTGATTTTATCTCTCATCATAACATTTTCTAACTCCTGATCCAAGTCATGTATTCATCTGTTGAAAGTGCACAGTCTAAGATTGGGCAAAGATATTTTTAACATTGACACATACACTTTTGGTATGATTATTCAATATATTTGACATCCAACTAATAGCACTGTCAAGTTCATGTTTTGCCATCTTATTTATCAAGATTTAATGGTAGATTTGTTAAATATTTTGCTGAAGTCAAGCTACTATACTATATGTGTAATGCATTCTTTATTAGCTAAACTGATCACACTGACAAAAAGAAAATCTGCCTAGCTATCTTTAATTAGTCAAATGAATGTGGTTTAATTTAATGATTTTTTATAATAACTAGATATTGAATTGGTTATTACATTATTAGCTATCAAATTGGTTATTACATTATAAGAACTCCATCACTATTCTTTGTAAATATATGCACAAAACAGAAATTGATTACATAAATTTGGGCTATGTATATTGTTTTTTATAAAGTGTTCTTTTAAATTAGATTTTTAATATTATTTTTTAAAGTTGTTATATAGTTGAAACTATTACGATACAAGTAGTAACTTTTTTGTTTTAATGAACAATTACAACTTGCTAAAATTTTCACATGTTTTATTCCATGTAAATTTTCCCAATAGGAATAAGCTCCTGCTTTAGAATAGAATCAATATTTGATATTTTATTTCAATTGGCTATCCAGTTAGAATATTAAATGTTAAAAGTTTATCACAGTACAATTAGAAAAAGAGTGAACAAGTATGGTTTGTTTGGAAGGGTTGCCAAGAGAATCACAAGACTTCTGGAACAGTGTATTTGGACAGATGAGACCAAAGTGAAAATGTTTGGTCATAACACACAGTGTTATGTTTGGTGAAAACCAAACCCAGCATATCAGCACAAACATTACATACCAATTCTCAAGCATGGTGATGGAGGAGTAATGGTTTGGGCTTGTTTTGTAGGACCATGGGCACCTTGCAGTCATTGAATCAACGAAGAACTCCTATATACAAAGCATTCTAGAGCCTAATCTGATGCTATCTGTCCAACAGCTAAAGCCAGGCTGACATTTGGTCATGCAACAGGGCAATGATTCCAAGGTCACCGGCAAATCTATAATAGAATGGGTGTGGGGGGGGGGGGGGAGAATCAATAGCCTAGTCAAAGTCCAGACCTCAATCCGATTGAAATATTGTGATGGGAACTTAAGAGAGCTGTGAATAAACAAATGCCCATAGAACTGAAACAGTGTTGTAAAAAATAGTGAGCCGTAATTCCTCCACAACAATGTGAGAGACTGATAATTTATGCAAAAAATGATTACTTCAAGTTATTGCTGATAAAACTGGTTCTATAAGCTATTGAATCATAAGGTGTACTTAGTTTTTCACAAATGGCTTCTCCATTTTGGCTTTCTTTTTGTAAATTAAATAATGACATGGTGTAATAAGTCATATGTTGTTTATCTGAAGTTGTATACCTATTTTTAAGACCTGCAAAGGACCAGATGATTTTTACTATATTCTGATATGTAAAACCATAGAACTCAAAAAGTTTATTTTTCATATCTGTACATATTTTTTCTTTCTTCTTTTATATCCCCTTTTCCTTCTATTTTGTGTAGTATCATTATTCTCTTCATTTATTCTTCCTAATAATTTTTTAGAAATAGAAATGCATATTTTAATAATATGTTAATTCTGCTAAACATTTACATTCCAATTTTGAAAGTTACACTATTTGCATTTTGGCCACTTAATATTTATGAGTATTTTTCCTTGCAGATTGCAGCTACATTAACTTTACCATTTGATGTAATAAAAACATACCGACAGACTGAGCTTTGGGAACTTGATATTACACAATGTAAGTTTTTTTAAGATTCAGAAGTATTCTAATTCCATAATGTCTTCATATTTTAGTATACATAAACCCTATTTGGTGCTTCAGGCTTTTATTATTGATGTGTTTATAATATCAAGAATTGAATATGTTCAATCCTAGAGTACCTGAATCTGCAGAATGGTGCAGGCAGTGTTGTTACTATGTAAGAAGGAAAATAATATTCAGAAAATGTTAAATTACATTATACATTTTTGAATACATTCTTAAAAACTTGATGTCATATTTGAAAAGGACTTTTTCGTGTTTATAACGTATAGCTATAGGATAGAAAACACAATCTCTTATTACAAATACTACTATATAAATTTACTTCTAAAGGTTAGTATAGTGCCTTCCAACTATAAGAAATATGACTTCTGATTATAGGGAATAGACCGTATTTTTCGCCCCATAAGATGCACCTGATCATAAGACATACCTAGCTTTAGAGGAGGAAAACAAGACCAAACAAAATCAGACGGAGTCTGTGAGTACCGCAGTTAGGTGTCCTCTCCACCACATCCCAGCTCTGCCTATTGACTCCTGCATTGCAGAAAAGAGACAGAAGAGGTGGGGTTCAGCATTGTAAACGGATTTCGCCGCCCCAGCCAGGTTGCTGTTCACCAAAGGACTAGAACCATTTCCATCTACTTTTGGGGGGGTAGGAATATGTCTTATGGATCAAAAAATACGGTAATAGGATGCTTTTGTTTTGCAGGTTTTTTGTGTGTCATTTTAAGTGGACTTACTTTAAATCATGTTTGTTAAACTGCCTTATAGTTAAAAGACAAGAAATGTTCAGAACAGATTCTCACTGTATCCCATCTGAAAATAGTCTCGAAAGATTAATGTTATTATCATACAGTGGGTAAAACTAAGTTGACATTAAATCATACTAAAAAAAAGTGTAGAAAAATGAAATGCCTTTTCTTTTACTCAGCTCCACAGAAGAAAACTAGATCAATATGGGAAGTAATGAAGAGAATTGTGATTGAAAATGGATTTACTGGATTATTTACTGGTAAATTCTTGTTTGCTGCGGACTATAAAATATTTTATTTCTATATATTACACATATAGCAATATCAAAGTTTTTACTACATAAACTAAGAAAGCTTTACCACACTGCAGATTTCCCTATAAACTGTTTTGCCAGCTTTGAAAAATAAAATTCCAAAATAAATAAAATCTTAGGGATAAACTCAATAAATTAGTTTGGAAATATTTATTACCATCTTTGATGAAAGACTGCTAAAAAGGCCATATAAGAAATTGATCTGTTAAGTATATTAAAAAGTAGAATAAAACAATGTTGACACCTTAATATAGCCTTATGTTTAAAAGTCTATATCAACTTGAGGTGGAATCAAAAGTGACTATTGACAAAAAAAAATAGCTTATATTCCAAAATGTGTAATTTGGTATTGACCAAGAAAATTAAATTCCTTTAAAATTCTCATATAATCTGATTAATTTCTTAATCAAATTACTAGTGGCTCAAAATGAATGAATCTCATAAAGATTGCAAATATCAGGGATTTGTCAGAGTTGCCATTATGTGTACATTTGTGTTTGTGTTGGTCTAGTGCCATGATGGCTAACCTATGGCATGTGTGCCCAAAGTGGCATGCGAAGCCATGTTGCCTGGCATGCGTAGCCTTGCTTGTTTGTGTCCCGGGTTTCTGGCATGCCGGCCAGCTGATTGACAGGTGCACATGTGCGCCAGAGCCCGGAAGTTCAGCTTTTCCAGAGCACAATCCCTTCATATGCACAGCAGTGCGGAAAACCATCCTGTGCATGCGTGCTGGCCAGCTGATCATTGGGATCGCATGCACACTAGAAACCGGAAGTTCAGCTTTTCTGGAGTGCGGCCTTAATGAGCGCATGCACACATCATGTTTCCCCGGGACCTTTTTGGCATTCTGTCACCATCACTGATCTAGTGGTTAAAATATCATACTTAAAATAGAAGACTGTGAGTTCAAGTTTCGCCTAAGTTATGAAAGCCAACTGGATGACTTTGGGCTCTCTTACCCAACCCATATTACAGTGTTGTTGTTGTAGGGAAAATAAGAGAAAAATGTGTTATTTGTAAAAATAATCAATGCAGGATACAAATAAATACATATAAATAAATAAAATCAAAAAATAATTTGACTAACATCCCAATTATACAGAATTTATTCTCAAGCATGTTTTAATACCACATTGTTAGCTTGTATGTAGCATTAAGTTATCATGCAGATCCATTTTAAATATTTCTATGGAAATATAAAAAAAGCAAGCAGTGGTTTTATAAACAGTATATTGTTTTGGAAGTTATTTTTCAATATCTAGTTTTTTGTGATACCTCATTTTTCAATGCCTATAATTTTTTTCCCCACAGGTATTATTCCAAGACTGACAAAAATTGCTCCTGCTTGTGCCATAATGATCAGCACATATGAATACGGGAAAACTTTCTTTCGTAGATTAAATAAAGACAAAGATATGAAGAACTATTAATGTTGTTTCTGTAAAATTGAAATATCAGTACTTAGTATGCATAAAGGTCCACGTAAGCTGTATTTTATTACATAGATTTTACTTCCATTGCACATGCATCCATGCCTCTACCAGCATTATGTTCAGAATTATTCCCTGTATGTTTGATATTCCCAAAATCTCTATCATGCTTCAAACATAAAATATAGTTAATCTTGCATAAACATATGGTAAAGAAAAGATTGAAATAAGCATATGTTTCTGCAAAAGAAGTAAGTACATAAACTTTAAAGCAATTTTCAGATACATTCAGTGGTACCTCAGTATTTGACTGCTCTAAAAGTTATAGAATTTTGTACTTGATACATTTTATACAAAAAAATTGTTTTGGTAATTGACATTTGTTTGGTGCTCAACGCACAAGCTAGAACTTCTTGATATCAGCTGCTTCATGACTCCCTGCCGTTTCCAGCCCAAAAAGAGGGTCACATGTTATCTGTGGCCCTATGCACATCCTCTTGCGTTCTTAGTTTTTCTGTGGTCATTTTGTATATTTTTGTGCTTTTCTTCTAATCATGGATCCTAAGTAAAAGAAGAGTAATAGTGTTGAGCAGAAAAGAAAATTGCTTACACCACCAAGAAAAAAAGAGGGGGAAATAGACAAATATGACAGCGGCATTAGCATTACTGATTTACTAGAGAATACAGTGTGCCTAGAACAATATCATTAAGAATAAAGAAGTGTTCCCAAACACTTGAAGTTGAACACTTGAACTGTTGATTTTGGTAAACAAAAACAAGAAGCAGTGGATGACATTGCATCAGAAGGTATGATATGTGAAAAAGTGAAGGACTGTTATCTTACCTGAACGGTAGTTCTCTGTGTGCTGCGGGAGAATCCAAGCATGCGTTCAACTTCAGTTTGTCTGTCCAGTGATAGAGTTAATTTTAGAGTCTTTTAGCCATGCCTCCCGACTTAACTGCCTCAGTTTCTCAACAAAGATGTGGATAATAAGAAGACTTTGACAACCTGATGCGTGTTTCGACTTGATTATCTTCATGTAATCTGGATGTGGACCCAGACTTTTGGGTGGAGCTGGATTCTCCCGTAGCACAGAGATCTACCGTTCAGGTAAAACAATGGTCCTTCTGTGCGCTGCTTGGAGAGTCAAAGCATGGAATATGCCCAAGCTTAATGTCCTATGGGCGGGATGACAAACTGTCTGGGGCCCTGTCAGCTTCATAGATTGCTTGTAGGACCCTGCCCAAACGATGCCTCAGCAAATGAATCAAGTTTATAATTTTTGATGAACGGCAGTGGGGTGGCCCATGTGGGTGCCCTACACATTTCCTCCACTGAAGCTTGATTAGCCCAAGCTGCTATGGTGGTTCCGCTGCAAGTGGAGTGAGCCGTGATACAGCCAGGTGGCTGTTTGGATTGTTGTTCATAGGATAGCACAATGCAGGCCCTCAACCCTTTGCCAATAACAGTTGATGACATCTTGCCCATGGAGACGGCTGAATTGACACAAATAATGATTCAGTTCGATGAAAGGAAGCCATTCTCTTGATGTAACATCGAATCGTCCCTCTGACATCCAAATTATGCCATGGTTTTTTGGTGGGATGAGTGGCATTGTGGCAAAACTCAGGTAAAATTACTTCCTTAGACCTGTGAAAATGAGAGTTTATTTTAGGGATGAATGATTGGTACAGTATGAGGATGATCTTGTCAGGCCGAATGATGCACAGGTTTTCTTGGACAGACAGAGTTGCCAGCTCTGAAATACACCTTGCGGAAGTAACTGCCACAAGGAAGGCAACTTTCAGTGTCAGATGGATTGATGAGAGCCTGTAATACCAGGAAAAGATCCCATGTGAGATATTGGTGAATTACAGGTGGTCGCAGATTAGCTGCACACAGGAGGAGAGTAGACGCAGATGTCTTGAGAGAGTGCAATTGGAGCCTGATCTTAGAATTGTTGATAAGATGGTGATCTGCCTTTGAACAGTGTTTGGGGCAAGCCCCTTGTCAAGTCCATGTTGAAGGAATTCGAGCACCTGAGGAATGGAGGCCGAAGTGGACTTGATGGAATTGGAGCACCACCTGCAGAAGGTGGCCCAGGTTGTGTCGTAAATGTGGATAGTAGAGTCACGTCTGGAAGCCTGTATGGTCTGGCTGACCCACCCAGAGAATTTCCATTTTCTTAGGCGGTCCCTCTCAAGTGCCAGATTGTTAACTGAGGTTCTGGGTAGTCTAGCACTCCCTGGCTGAGAGATACCCTGTCCTGGGGTATCCTCCATGGGTGGGAGACCAGCAGACTGACTAGGTCCATGAACCATGGATGTCGGGGCCACCTCTGCTGTCTTGATGAGGATCTTCCTGACCACTTGTGGGATGAGAGCAAGCAAGGGAAACACATACAGGAGAGCTGGTAGCCATGGGCTACTGAGGGCATCGGTTCCTTCTGCATCTTTTGTCGGAAACCTGGAGAAAAGCTTCGGCATGTGTGTATTCTCCGATCAGGCGAACGGATCCACTTGTGGTCGGCTGAATATGTCGGAGAGCTGTTGAAAGAGGTCGAGATGAAGTCCCCATTCCTTGTGTTCAATGGTAGACCTATTGAGTCAGTGTGCCTGAGTGTTGGTTGTTCCTGAGATGTGCTCAGCTCGGATGGATAGTAAATGAGTTTCCCCCCCCCCCCAGACACAGTTTCTCCTCCTCCTGCATTAGGGCCTTGGAATGAGTGCCCTCTTGGCGGTTGACATGGCCTTGGTGGCCACATTGTCCCTGAGCAGGAGGATGTGTTGGCTGAGAACTCAATCCCTGAAGCGGCGTAGGGCTTGGTGTGGGGCCCTCAGTTCCAGCCAGTTGACGCTGTTCTCCAGCTTCTGTGACCAACACCCTTGAGACAGTTGTGATTGAAGGTGTGCCCCCCAACCAGACAGGCTGGCGTCTAACGTCACTGTTGCCCGATGTGGTTCCTTAAAGAAAGAACCTTTCTGTATCGTTGGAAAAGTCCACCAAAGAAGCGAAATGCAGATTTGTGGAGAAATGTGCATCTTGATGTAGGAGTTGCTTCTTTTGGTTTGCTGGTGTGAAAACAGGAGCCACTGTAATGATTGGGCATGCAACCTTGCCCAGGGAATGATCGACAAGCAAGAGATCATTTTCCCTAGCAGGAGGGGAAGTTGTATCAGTGGCACTTGGCATTGCAATTGAATGGAGGTGACCATCTGTCGTAGATTAGAGGGACACTCTGCAGGCCAAGGTGTCGATCATGGCCCCTAAGTGCAAGAGTCTGCTAATGGGCTGGAGATGACTCTTCTCTATGTTTACGAAGGAGCCATGATTCTATAGGACGAGCATCATGATATGCATATGCCGGTGTGCCTGTCTTGACAGATGATGACTGGATAGAATGTCGTCCAAGTAACATTGTACTCACACCAGTTGGGATCGGAGGTATACTGCTACTGCTGCTAACAGTTTTGTGAAAGTCCTGAGGGGCGATGACAGGCTGAATGGCAGGGTATGATACTGAAAGTGGTGCCCTGCATAGTGGAACTGCAGGAACCTTCTGTGTGATGGTCTGATGGGTATGTGCAGGTAAGCCTCCCTGGGGTCTATGGACAAGAGTAGATCCCCCTCCCAAATGCTGCCTAGGATGGAATTTAGGGACTGCATTTTAAAGCTTTTGTATGCTACATGGGAGTTAAGCCTTTTGAGATTCAAAATGAATCTGCACCCCTCCCTCACCCCCGAACTCTTGGGTACTAGGAACAGTATGAAGTAGAATTCTAGACCTTCCTGACCCGATGGAACCGGTCCTATCAACTTGATGTCTATGAGGTGGCAGATCTCAGTTTCCATCAATTCTGTCTTTGAGGGATTCTTGGGAGTGGGGCAACTCAGAAAGTGGTGGGGTGGTGGAGAGAGAAATTCTATGTTGAGTCCCAGCCTCACCATCTGGAGAACCCAGGCATCCGTGGTCGTCTCCTTCCACTGGGGTAAGAAGTCCTGTAGACAACCACCAATGGGCAACGTGAGTCAATAGTCACTTTGCTCTCCAGAAGGGCTTGTTATTAACACCTTCCCCTGGTAATGTTGTCTGCCATAGGGCTTTTGCCTATCTCTCTGTCCTGGAACCTATTAGCCCCCTGGGAATATGATCTCTGAAACTGTGGACCTTGTGTTCCAAGTCAGCCTGATGAAAGAGTTGTTTGCGGGAGTATAGGGAGACACTGTTATTTGTATGCTTGCACTGGTCTGGTAAGACCTTTTTCTTATCTTTGGTTTCCAACAATACAGGGCCAAGGGCCTCGCCAAAGAGTTTATATCTTTTTAATGGGGCCAAGCAAGGCTCCACTTGGACTGCATGTCTGCCTGCCAATGGTGAAGCGAAGCTAGATGCCTGGATGTTACGTTACAATGCTCACAATGCAAACTTGGTGGCATTAAGGGTGGCATCCACCGGATATTCTGCAGCTGTCACCAGATTGTTTAAGTCCTGGCAGAGCCTGGAATCCTCTACAGGAATCTTACATAAAAGATATATTTATTTATTTATTAAAAGTTGCCTCAGCCACATGAGGGTGGTCCTATTAAAAAAAGAAGCTGAGGTCGAGGCCTAATAGCCCAGGACACAGCTTGGTGAACCTTCCTGAAAGAGGACTCTGCTCTCTTGTCCTTCGCCTTCAGCCCTTCTGTGAGATCAGAAGGAATAAGTGCTGATGAGGTGAGTGCGGCCTCAGGGGAATCTACCTTGGACCACTGTAGTAGGTTCTCCATTTCGGGAGCCACCAAATACAATCGTTTGTCACAGCCCCTGGGAGCTGGGATGGAACCTGGCTATGCCCATTGCCATTGGACAACATCTAAGAAGAGTTGGGGAGCAGAAATCTCCTCATGCTTGGCCAGAGATTCCAAGAATACGTTATTGCCCTTGGGCGCCTTGGCTGGTGTTTCCTTGGCTGGCTCAGCTGAGATACTGGCCATCTCTGAGCTAGTGACCAGCTTT